ACACCCAAATTTAAAATATTTTAATACTGTATTAATGTTTTCTGTAATAATTAGTAATTAATAGAGGTTTAACCATTTTGGAGGTTGTGTTTTACTTCTTTAGTTAATCTACTGTGGTGGGTAATGTTTTGCTGAGTTGGGGAATCTGAAGGCAATTAGGGATCATTGCAGAGCACTTCGTTGAAGTCTCTGCCCAGGCACATACCCAGTAGAAATAACAACGTATATCCAGAGTCTCTGTTGTGTTTTCTGGGGAACTTGCTGCAGTAATAGTCCGAGTGGTGAGCCTCCCCGAGTGAGCACCAGGACCCTGTGCTCCCGCCACGGCCTCCCTGAGTGAGCACCAGGACCCTGTGCTCCTGCCACGGCCTCCCCGAGTGAGCACCAGGGCCCTGTGCTCCCGCCACGGCCTCCCCGAGTGAGCACCAGGACCCTGTGCTCCCGCCACGGCTCCTAAGAGTGCCTTGGTGAGCCACTGCGGTGCTGATTTGACCCTCGCATGTGCCTTCCTTTGGCTTCTCTGAAAGGAATGGTACACCCACCCCAGCACCGGGGACATAAGTGAAGACACATGGGGCAGTTCTCAGACAGCTTCTCCAAATGAATGAGCCACAAGAAAACTAATTACTTCTTGCCATAGATAAAAATTGTGTTTTTGAGCCGGGCACCAGTGGCTCCCGCCTGTCATCCTAGCTACTCAGGAGGCTGAGATCTGAGGATCGCAGTTCAAAGCCAGCCCAGGCAGGAACGTCTGTGAGACTCTTCTCCAATAAACCACTAGAAAACCGGAAGTGGCGCTGTGGCTCAAGTAGTAGAGCGCTCGCCTTGAGCTGAAGAGCGCAGGGACAGTGTTCAAGCCCCACGACCGACCAAAAAAAATAAAATTGTGCTTTTGAGCCAAAATTTGAGTTTTGGGAAACTTATGTCTGCCATTGTGAGCTTGATGGCTTCCCTGTAATTTAAGCAATTCTCAGGCAATCTGTGTACATTCACAAATTTGCTTTCTTTTTATATGGTCTGCTTACTTCAGTAAGCTGCTCTTTTCTAAGTGACCCACTGGCATCATGTGGGGAAAGATGCTAAAGTTTTGACAGACCCGTGGATGTTCACGTAAGAACATGAAAAAATCATTGATGGGGTTCCAGAACCCAACGGGTACTTGTTGATACCAAAGATTACCCACAATTGGGTGAAGAGATTGCTAAAATACTCCTCTCTTTTCTAATGGCAGACTTTTGTAAAGCAAGGCTTCATGTATTTTATCCAAATGGTATGTATCAGTAAGTGGAATGTAGGGAGTCTGCTGTGTGTTACTTGGGCAGTACTGGGATTTGAACACAAGTTCTTGTGCTTGCACTCTACTACTTGTCATATCCCAGCTCTGGTTGTCATGTTTGTTTGTTTTGGTGCTGTCCTGAGGCAGGGTCTGGGCACTGACTGAGCTGCTTTTGCTCAAGGCTAGTGTTCTACCACTTGAGCCACAGCTCCACCTCAGGATTTGTTTGATAATTTAGTGGAGATCGTTTCACAGACTTTTCCTGGCTTTGAACCCCAGATCTCAGCCTCGAGAGTAGCTAGGATTACATGAGCTACTGCACCTGGCTCCCTGCTATCTTTATTAAACCAGAGATTTGCAAAATTATGAAACAGCACCATTTAATACTGTCTTTTTGCGTGATTCTGGAAATAACATTCCTTTTCTCATTAATAAAATGTTAATGTGTAATGGACTTAACAAAACAGTTAATATTTAAATTTTGGGTAGTACCTATAGATACACTCCATGTAAATGAAAGTTCGTTATACCTGTGTATGTGTATATAATGTCTTTGTGCATGTATATGTGTACGTGTACATATGTGTGTTACTTCTTTTTCAGTACTGAGGTTTGAACTCTGGATTTTGAGCTTGCCTGGCAGGTACTCGTTTGCTTAAGCCATACTTCCAGCTCTCTCTCCTCTGATTATTTGTGACATAAGGTCTGGCTTTTGCCTTGCCAGCCTGCTTCTGATAGTAACTGAGATGCAAGTGCATGCTATCACACTTGCCTTTTTCTGTTGAGCTTCAGTCTCATACTTTCTTTGCCCAGAGGCCGGCCTTGAACCACCATCTCTCCAACGCTATCCAGTGGGGTTACAGGTGCAAGCCACAGTGTTCAGCTGGGGTCTTCCCTCTTTAAAGAGTAGGAATAGGCACTAAGACCTAAAATACTTGAATTGCTTTTTTTTTTTTTTTTTAACCACTGAGACTTCATTGCATTACCCCTGGTTCCATTTAGTAGGAATGGGAATTAAGTAATTTGAAGGTGTTTTTGCAATTTTTGAAAAATGTATAATTTTTGTATTCATAGTTATTGTAAGGTGATGAACAGAGGAGTTATGGTTACATGTCAGAGTACATTTCTTTTTTTAACAATATCAGCCCTTCCCTCATACTCTCAGTTTTTCTCTCCCACCCCCACCTACAGGTTGTATAGTTCATTTTCAACATTGTATCTAGTAAGTATCACTACTGCATTTGTTCGCCCTTTGTCACACCATTTCTGTGACCTCCCAAAGACAGATAAACAAGACAAAAGGAAAAGAAAAAAGAGTGCTAAAAAAAAGTGAAACAGATACTGATACCTGAAACCTAGATTGTTATTTTTATTTTATTTGTCGGTCACGGGGCTTGAACTCTGGTGCTGAGTGCTGTCCCTCAGCTCTTCAGCCACAGTGCCACTTCTGGGTTTCTGTGGTTTCCTGGAGATAAGTGTTTCACGGCCTTTCCTGCCTGGGCTGGCTTTGAAAGAGATCCTCATATCTTAGCTCCTGGAGGGCTGGGATTTCAGGAGCTCGGCTCAATCTAGAATTTTAACTACTTAGGAGGCTGAGATTTGTAGGATCACAGCTAGGGGCCAGCCAAGGCAAAGAATTTTCTAGATTCTTATCTCCATAATCTCAGTAACTAGCAAAAAGCAAAGCTGGTGGTGTGGCTCAAGTGGTAGAATACCAGCCTAACAAGTATAAGGCTCTGAGTTCAAACCAGTACCACCAAAAAAAAAAAAAGGTAGAGGGGCTGGTAAGGTGGTTCAGTGGTAGAGGGCATGCCTAGCAAGCATGAGGTCCTGGGTTCCATTCCTCAGCACCACATAAGCCGGAAGTGGCGCTGTGGCTCAAGTGGTAGAACACTAACCTTGAGCTGAGTAGCTGAGAGACAGCGGCCAGGCCCAGAGTTCAGGCCCCACAACCAACCCCCCCAAAAAAAATTAAAAATGTAGAAACATAATTATAGATTATGTATACTCAGTGATAACCATTTGTACTTTTCCTTTCTGGGAAGAAAATATGAATATGATGTGGTTGCATTTCTCCATTGTAATTGTGCTATGTAGTCTGTGCTATGTAGTACTGAATCGTAAAAGAAACTTTAACAATTTTATGCATATATTTTATTTCTTCCCGCTTTAGCTTTGATAGATGTTTTTAATCCCACACACAAAAAATTTGTATTTGTTGATAAAATCATGAAAAGCATTTGCAATATAAAATGATCTGTTCTGAATGCGCTTTATCATTCTAATTGATAGAAATAACTGCATTTTCCCTTCTTAATTATATTCAGAACTGAAATCCAGAAACGTTTCAAATTCACATATAAATTGCTTTTTTATGATTTTATTTCTAAGAACACTGTAATTCATTTCCCTTTATAAATGCTTAGTGTGGTAAAAATACAATTTTATTTCCAGTTTTTTATTTTTTTGCCCGTCCTGGGGCCTGAACTCAGGGCCTGGGCGCTGTCCCTGAGCTGTTTTTGCTCAAGGCTAGCGCTCTACCACTTGAGCCACAGTATCACCTCCAGCTTTTTCTGTGTATGTGGTTCTGAGGAATCGAATCCAGGACTTCATGTATACTAGCCAAGTACTCTACTACTGAGCCACCTTCCCAGCCCTCCAGTGTCCTTTGAGTTTTGTTGTTTTTTTCCCTGCTACAGGGGCTTGAACTCAGTGCCCGCTTTTTTCATTCAAGCTTGTTACTGTACCACTTGAGTCACACCTCCATCTCTGGCTTTTTGCCTGTTCGTTGGAGAAAATAGATTTGTCCTTCAGGCTGGCTTCAGACCTGGATCCTTAGACCTTAGTTTCCTGAGTAGCCAGGACTGTAAGTAGGAGCCATCAATGCCCAGTTTGAGTAATCTGAGCCCTCAAAGAAGGTCTCTTGGAGGCTATGGAGATCATGTGACTTAAGGCCAGTACCTGCCACCACACCACCTGCCTAATGAGAGTAGATAGGCAGTCTGAATGGCCGCTGTCCCTTTAAAGAAGAGCAAGTGTTTGTCCTTTGTCTTGGGTTGCTGGGGAGACCACAGTTAGCTGGAAGGCAGTTGGAGCAGTGGAGGCGGAGGTAAGAGAAGAGGGGCTTTTGGGTCAGTGTGGTGAAAAGGTAGTGTTAGAAACTGCCTACAAGCAAACGCACCTCGAGTGTTGATATTAAGATTATTTGAAAGAGGAAAGAAGTAAAAAGTGTTTTTCTAAACTTTAAATTTTTTAATGCACATAAACTAACCATGCTACATTGATGTTTAGTAAATATAAAACTCTTCAAACGTTCTTAGCTTTTAAATTAAAATGATTGTACAGCTAATAATAAGACAAAGTAATTACATGTAATATGTGATTATATACATACAGTAATTTTGTGTGCAAAGCTTTTTGTTTGTGTTTCACTGCCCTGTTGGGTTTCTCTTGAGCTAGGTCAGCTCATCATCCCAGAGCCCTCTGTGATGTCTCTGCCTGCCTTTCCTAAACTAGTCTAAAACTCATTGCTGGGCCTCACTGGGCCATCCTAGTTCTTCTGCCAGAGTCTATCAGTACTGCTTAACAAAGGGTCAGGATTTTTTTCCTGATGCCTTTATAGGTCATTCAGAAGGTTACTTGGAAAAATTGGCTTTTTAAAAAATTATTGTTGTGTGGTTTATAGTTACTTTAAGCATATAATGTGTGTTTCATTTTCCTCTAGGTGCTCATTCCCCATCAGTATCTCAAGAGTCTCGCTTGTAGGAGCTTGAACCTTCTCAAGAGCAGTGACTGGCAGCAGTGTGACAAGGCCTGGTCATCTACCGGGCCTGGGCCCAGCTTCTAGCAGCACCCAGACTTTCCAGGTAAAGTATCAGTATTATTACAACAGTGGCAAGAAAATAACATTTATATTCCCTTTTATTTATTTTTATTTATTTATTTTTGGGGGGTCCCGTCGTGGGGCCTGGGCGCTGTCCCTCAGCTCTTCAGCTCAAGGCTAGCGCTCTACCACTTGAGCCCAGCACCACTTCGGGCTTTTCTTTTTGCTTATGTGGTGCTGAGGAATCGAACCCAGGGCCTCATGCATGCAAGGCAAGTGCTCTACCACTGAGCCACCTTCCCAGCCCCTATATTCCCTTTTAAATGGCACTAGTTATAATAAATGTGAAGTCGCATTTATATTTATTTGACATATTCTAATCTCTAATCCAGTTTTTAAAGTTTTTGATTATCATTAAGAATTGATGATGTTTCTTCATCTTTGCAGTTATCTTATTCAGTATATGGTGAAGACTATCTTGAGTATAAATGGAGAGTATGGTTGAAGAATGTGGCTCAGTGGTAGAGCCTGACCTTAGTTAAAAAAAATTTTTTGTGGGGCTGGGAAGGTGGCTCAGTGGTAGAGCGCTTGCCTTGCATGTAGGAGTCCCTGGGTTCGATTCCTCAGCACCACATAAGAAAAAAGAAAAAAGCCGGAAGTGGCGCTGTGGCTCAAGTGGTAGAGCGCTAGCCTTGAGCTGAAGAGCTGAGGGACAGCGCCCAGGCCCAGAGTTCAGGCCCCATGACCGGACCCAAAAAATTTTTTTTTATTTATTTTTTTGTTGTAAATTTGGTGATTTACCTAAAATGGCAGACCCATTTTCACCACCCCCCAAAAAAATTCTAGCAGTAATAAGAAATTGTAACTAATGTGGTTTGGTAACTACTTTGCCATATATATTGATTAAGAAAGAAATTCCACCTTGTCTTTTGGAGGCCAGTGCTTCTCCTGAGTAAAAGCAGTTCATTGTCACCAAGCCAAGCCCCATCTACTCACGCGCCCCCCCACCCCTGGCAGGTCCTCAGTGCCCAGGTAGTTGGAGGGGTTTGCCCTGTGACTTGCATTGCTGTTAGTTGAGCTGTGTCCTTCAACATCTGAAATCCCCTCAAGTAACCACAGAGGTCATATACTCCCTCTCTCAGCCGAGTCTGGGTAACCTGGAGTGTGCAGCTTAAGGTTTACAGACTGATGGAGATGACTGGCAGGCAATTGCCACAGCCAAGTGACAGCTGTAGGAAGGACCAGATAGACCAGCAAGGGGAAAACGTTACATACTAGTCATCTTAAATTTCTATATTTTACATTTTTTAGGGTTTTCCTTTCATACCAGGCCTTTCCCTTGGATGGAGCATGGTGTAAAACTGACCATCATTAGCTTTTAGATGTGACTAAAAACCTGGAACAGCTAGGAAAAGAAACCTCAAGGTAGTACCAATTTTTTCCAGTTTTGTTGTTTTAGAAATAAAAGGCTTATATATATATCCTTTAATCTTTAAAAAGAAAGTGAAAGAAAACAGAAGTAGACCCCGAAACTGTCACCTGAGTCAGTGCAGTCAGTAGAACAAGTGAGGTCTAAGCCCTGCCTCACATCTGGGATCTGGGCAGTCTTTCCTGCACTTTGAGTCGCAAGGGTTATTCCGTACTCAGTTGGAGCATGGCTAATATGCAAGGCCCAAGACTGTCCTTAGATCAGGCTGGCGGGCGGGGTGGGGGGAGGGGGGGAGGATGGGCAGTGGTAGGAGCAAAAGCCAGGACTGACTTGGCCAGCCCTCTCATGGGCAGCATCTAGAAGAGGCACAGCAACCAGTGCTCTCTTGCTCCTGGCCAGCCAGCTCCATGCAAAGCACTGCAGGACTGGTGTAGACATCAGCACCACTTAAGCGTCTGTCGACTTCATTGGTCATGTCCTTGAACTGCTCCATAAATTTTTTTTTTTTGGTGGGGGGGCTCTAAACTCTGGGCCTGGGCGCTGTCCCTCAGCTCTTCAGCTCAAGGCCAGCGCTCTACCACTTGAGCCACAGCACCACTTCCGGCTTTTTTCTTTTTGCTTATGTGGTGCTGAGGAATTGAACCCAGGGCCTCCTACATGCAAGGCAAGCGCTCTACCACTGAGCCACCTTCCCAGCCCTGCTCCATAAATTTTCTGCCCTTTTTGTAAAGGTAAGTGTTCTAAGTACTTAGATGGTGATATTACATGTTGGAGTTGTTGGCTGGATTTTAGACGGAGTATTTACGGTGTATTACTAGAGTTTATATACAACACCACTTTGAAAGTAGAAAAATGTCTCATTTCACTGTTGTTTCTAAGTTGCACTCCATAGATGCCCCTTGGTGTCTGATTCAAGGCTGTGTGTTTTGATGGCTTGGTGGTTTGTCGTGATGTGATTGTCTTTTATTATCAGGTATGGATGACAAAGGGGACCCAAGCAGTGAAGAAGCACCTAAGGCGATCAAGCCCACAAGCAAAGAGTTCAGGAAAACATGGGGGTTTCGGAGAACCACAATCGCTAAGCGTGAGGGTGCGGGAGATGCCGAGGCGGACCCTGCCGAGCCGCAGCCACAGCAGCACAGCCTCTCCCTGCGCCGCAGCGGGCGGCAGCCGAAGCGCACGGAGCGGGTGGAAGAGTTCCTTACCACAGTGCGCAGACGCGGAAGGAAAAGTGTGCCTGTCTCCCTCGAGGACTCCGGGGAGCCTGCGTCCTGCCCCGTCACAGACGGGGAGACTGCCTCCGAAGGGAGCGTTGAGAGTAGCTCTGAAAGCAGAAGTGGCCCCGTGCCCAGCTCCTCGGGGGTGAAGGAAGGCTCTGTCTCTGAAAAGGTCAGAGGGGGTGACGATGAGGAAGACACCTCTGACAGTGACAGTGACGGCCTTACTCTGAAGGAGCTCCAGAGTCGCCTTCGAAGAAAGCGAGAAGAGGGGTCCGCAGAGAGGCCCCCGAAAGGCACTCAGAATCGCCCGCGGAAGGAGCGCCCCGGTGACACGGTGGACACGGAGGCGAGCAGCGCTGGTGAGGACGCCACACCCTGCAAACGGGAGCCTGAGGCTGGCCAGGGGGCCGGGGCCCAGGCTTCCGAAAGCGACAGAGAAAACCTGTCCGAGGGAACAGAAACTCAAGGAACGGAAGATGAAGGCCCTGGGGACACAGGAAAACCCGAGCCCGAGTGTGAAGTTTATGACCCCAATGCTCTGTATTGCATCTGCCGCCAGCCTCACAACAACAGGTGGGTGGAGGGAGGAGAGGTACTGCTGCTTTTAGGGTGAGCCACGGGCGGGACATTAGTGAGAGCACTTTCCATGTGCTTTGATGCCAGAGTGCATGCTTCAAAGCTGGGCTCGATGAGCAGCTTATTGAAAAAGGAAACAAAAGTGGGTATGGAGTGCCTCGCATCAGCCACGGGTAACCACCGAGTCGGTGTCCGACATGGCGTGAGTGGTGACTAGATTCCACACCAGGGTTGGTTGCTGGGGGGGACGGGGGGGAGTGCTGTGGGCGTCATTTGGTGTGGAGACAACACACGGAAGACTCCGGGGCTTTGCATGTACCAGACAGGTGCTTTACCACTGACCAAGATACATCCCAGCTCTCTAGTTCAGATATTCTATTCTATTCAATATTCTAGCCAAAGGATGAAGCAGCTTTAGCTGAATTGTGATTAAGCCTTAAAAAAGGGCATATGGGTATTCCTAGTTTTGTTCTCTTCATTTTTCTGTGTATTTGTATTTCATCAGGTTAAAAACAGTGGTGTCGTCTAGAGATGAACGGTTTGTGATGCATCATTGTGTCGTTTCAGGTTTATGATCTGCTGCGACCGCTGTGAGGAATGGTTCCATGGTGACTGTGTGGGCATTTCCGAGGCCCGAGGGCGGCTCCTGGAAAGGAATGGGGAAGATTACATCTGCCCAAACTGCACCATTCTGCAAGTGCAGGATGAGACAAACTCAGAAGCCACAGAGGAGCAGGAGCTCAGATGTAGACCTGAAGGCGCTGACAGCACAGAGTGCACAAGTATAGGGACAGTGGAGCAGAAGTCTAGTGAGGACCAGGGGATAAAAGGTAGAATCGAGAAAGCTGCAAATCCCAGTGGCAAGAAAAAACTCAAGATATTCCAGCCTGTAAGTATTTGCCGAGGCAAACTCAAAGGGGTGGACTTGATAGGTGGCAGCCTTGCCGTTGGCGGTGAGACCCAAGGCCAGCGGGCTTCCTCTGAAATACTCTCGGCCTTTGCAAAGGAGGCGTGTGTCTGTTGGGAGAGCGTCTTCTGCTCCACTTCGGTCTCATCTCACCATCCCAGTGCCGCCCTCTGCCCTCTCTCCCATTCTGTTACTGCCTACTGCCGGACCTTTTTTTTTTTTTTTTAAGTATTCTTTTTCTTTACGTACTCTTGGTATTGTGTGTTGGCAGAATTGTTGAGCAAAGTGAGCCTGAGCCTCAGTATCCTTTTCACTGTCCTGTGCCAAGTATATGCTGTCAGCCTGCACTGCCCATGCTGACATGCATTGCATGGTTTCTGAAGTCTGACATTGATCTCCACTGTCCACTTGATGCCTTTGTGGGCCATAATTTTCACGGTTCCCACAGCTTCGGCTCCTCAGGACAGCTGTCTCCTGCTCTCATGCATCTCCATTCCAGCTCCCACGGGAATGCCACTCAACGTCACATGGCCTGCCTCACAGCCTGTCCTCCAGCAATTCTAGGGTCCCGACAAAGCCGAGGTTTCTATGCTAGAGGCATCTGGCCTTAACATTTACCATACTCACACTGTGTTAGCTGTGAGTGAGATCTGGGCTGTTTAACTTGGTGTGTGATAAAGATAATATGAGGGAAGTCAAGTGCTGGTGGCTCACATCTGCAATCCCAGCTTTTCAGGAGGCTGAAATCTGCGGATCATGATTCAAAGCCAGTTCAGGCAGGAAAGTCCGAGACTCTCGACTCTCATCTCCAGTTAACTACTCAGAAAAAAACGGAAGTGACACTGTGGCTCAGATGGTAAAGTACAAGCCTTGAGCAGAAGGAGGCTCAGCAGCAGGCCTTGATTTCAAGCCCCAGGGCCAGCAGAAAATAGAGATACTATGAGGGATTTTGTAGAAAATGTGGCCCTGTTAATACTGCATTTAGAACAGTCATCAATGTCTTGTTCTCTATTAACAATACATTTGACATGAGCTTAAATTTTATTCTAGGTAAAACTTAGATTCAATAGAGGAAAACAATTGTTAAATTTTTAATTTGAGAAATGAGCTACTGCAGTAGGAAATGTGAGAGGACATGCTTGTGTGTTTTTCATCTGCACCATTAGGCATCCTTTAGAAAGTAAAGACAGAAGTGGGGAAGGTGGCTCAGTGGTAGAGCGCTTGCCTTGCATGCATGAGGCCCTGGGTTCCATTCCTCAGCACCACATAAGCAGGAAAAAAAAGCCAGAAGTGGTGCAGTGGCTTAAGTGGTAGAGATTAGCCTTAAGCTGAAGAGCTGAGGGACAGCGCCCAGGTCCAGAGTTCAGACCCTACAACTGACAAAAAAAAAAAAAAGAAAGTAAAGACAAGGCTGGGAAAGTGACTTAGTGATAGAATGCTTGCCTTGCGTGCATGATGCCCTGAGTTCAATTCCTCAGTACCACATACACAGAAGAAGCCAGAAGTGGTACTGTGGCTCAAGTGGTGGAGTGCTAATCTTGAGCAAAAGAAGTTCAGGGACAGCGCCCAGGCCTGAGTTCAAACCCCAGGACTGGCCAAAAAAAAAGAAAGAAAGTAAAGACAAGTAGGCTTCTGGTGGACTCTTCATGTCCTAATTCTGCCAACAGGTCTCCACAAACTTAGCTTAAACACGTGCATCCATGTTCTAGTTTGTGTGGTCAGAGCCTAGCATGTGTAGCTGAGGCCTGTCCTCAGGGCCTTCAAGAACTGCAATCAGACTGACTGTGCCTATTGGTTTGGTGTGTGCCTCCCATGCCATTTTTTTAACTTTTTTCTTTTTTGGTGGGGGAGGGGGCGGCTTGAACTCTGGGCCTGGGCGCTGTCCCTCAGCTCTTCAGCTCAAGGCTAGTGCTCTACCACTTGAGCCACAGCACCACTACATTTTCTGAGCAGTGTATTGGAGATGGGAGTCCCACAGCCTTTCCTGCCCGGGCTGGCTTTGAACCGAGATTCTCAGATCTTAGCCTCCTGAGTAGCTAGGATTTACAGGCCTGAGCCACTAGCATCCTGCTCCATGTGATTTTTT